GTCTGAGTGTGAGCGAGGAGCCCCCCCTCCACAGAGTGACCACCAGCCCTCCGTCCACAGACCACCAGAGGGGGGTCCCATGTCGCAGCCAGAGCCTCCAGCCGCCCTCCACCCCCGCCCTGCCCCGACGCTTCCTGCCCGCCCCGCCAAGAAGCTCACCTGGAGGTCAGTCGGAATCAGAGGTCCTTTATTCATCCCACAGCGGGGACATTTTCAATGTTACAGCAAATGGAAAGTGCAATATGACATAGAGGCAAACACACGTTCATAAAGAAATTAAGATGAAGACTCATTCATGGAAATAAGTAGCAGCATTCTAAAGAGTAAGTGAACGAAGTGATGAGGTAGCGTAGCAACAGGTGACAACATTTAAAAATGTAAAAGTGTTTATTGCAAGTCATCTGTTCAACAGTAGGGTAATAGTCTGAGTGTAGTGGAGTTTCGCCAGTACAGTATATACTGTGGGGTATGCATTTCACTATTTATCACTATATATTTGTGTGGTAAATATGACATAGACCTTTTAAGGAGAATAAAGCTAGATTCTTGGTTCGAATAACGCTATAATTTGTTTGTTAGAAATGTTATACACTGTTAGATTTTGTCAGCATAGTTTTTACATAAATGAATACCAAGTTCATGCAGGAACAATGAAATGTAATCATACAGGGGCCTTGCAGGGAATACTATCTGAGAGAGAGAGCATTTTCCACCAGCAACAGATTGTGTCCTTTTGTCACATGCTGTTTTCACATATGTGGTAAACTATTTAATATCCAGCAAACCATACATGATGTATTATGCATGTACTGGTATTCAGACGCAAAGGAATATTCATTTAAATCATAGTCTCCAAAAAGTAAATATTAAACATCATGTTTTATTGTTGGTACTTGGAAAACAAAGAAAAACATGCTTAGTTATTGTTAAAAATACAAATGATAAATATCTGAATAGTGAGAAATCCATGGCAGAAGAGGCATTCAGTGTTCTTCCTGCAAATACTCTACAATTTCTATTTGTCCACCCTTTTCTGCCTCAATATACAGTGTAGTACCTAACTGAGCACAAGCCCTGCTTTTGGGGGGTTGTTGAAAGTCATTTTGGGAAATGCTTCAAGGCACTAACTTAACATTTTAACACTTGACTTCACTTACAAGATCACTTTTAGAATCTGTTGAACTGCATTAGATACATGCAATTGTGGAATTGACTTTCATTTTGTATTTAGGCCATTTATTCATGAAATCTATAAAGAAGTACCATTAAACACGAACACTACACATTAACCAGATTATACCCACAGTCAATAATGTTGGTGTTAATTCATTTGTATGATCTTGTGGCGTCACAACTGTCCTGGTAGACGATGGCGACACATTCTGCTCGAGGAGGCGCACAGGCAGTGATGCTTTTCACACATGTATTCTTCACACATGGAAATGAACACCAGAGGCCCTGTAGTATCACACTTCTCTCACTCACAGTTATCTCATGTCTTTACACTTTTATAGCAGCTTATTGAATAAAAGACACAGAAATCTGCTTTATGCTGCGGTGTGAGCTGAATACATAGAAAACAAACAGAACAAAATGGATTCTAGACAGCAGAACAGTGTGAAGATCATTCTTGTGATGTTCTCGACATGTTTCCCACGCTGGGTATGCAGAGTGTAGAGAACATCTCTCTCACATTGTGTATCCGTAGGCCCGAGCTGACTTTAAATCTGCTGTAAATTATTGATGGGGAAATACTTGAGGAGTCCCTGTCAACCTGCCAGTGGTGCACAGACACTACTTTTATCTTTTCTTTATATGCCATTGTTGTCTGTCTTTCTCAATACAGCACAATCTTATCAAGCACAAGTACGGGCACAGCAAAAAATAGGACTCAAGAGCACAACCAGGCAGTGGCGGCGCCAGAGATTTTCTCTAGGGGGTGCTGTGGGGTAGCTTGACGTTTCATAGAGGGTGCTCAAACATTAAGGGTTTCCCATTAATGCACCAGAGCTACAGTTGAATTTTCTACTGCAACGATCCCCACACGCACACACAGTGCACCCGCGACTGTTACAATGAAGGCTCGATAATCAGCTCACGGCACATGGGTGTAAGCAGGGGTAAAGTGCTATTTTTACAAGTGGGGAGTGGACCTCACCTCCTCTAGGAGGGTCCTCACCTTCTCTAAACAAATCTAAAAAATATTTGTTTTTAAATATTGAAGTTAAAAGCATCAATCTGGTGCACTTTGAGAGCAAAATGAAGAGATCTATGGATATATTGTATCTCTCAACATATGAAACAGAACTGTAAACAGATTTTCTATTTCTTTATAGATATTTTACAAATCACTCCCCTTTTAAAACAAACCGTTTGAGACCCACTGAGATAACTAGACTAAAGTTAACTATCTAAACACTGAGAGTCCTTTACTTCACCTGAGGTTATCTGAGACTCACCATCTAACAGGAGAGAGTTCTCCCTCCACCTTGTTGTTGAAAAAGCTCCTTATATCCATTAGCTTGGCTAGCTAGCACCAGATGCTAACCACAACGATCTCCGGTAGATACCCACCGGTGCGCGAGCTCTCTCGCTCGCTTGCGCACGCACACAAATTGGCTCGTGACACACACACAGAGCAGAGCTTGAATGAAACACAGAGACCCAGAAGTAAGCTACTTGTACTCACAAGGCCTATTATGTGCAGAATCCCTCTCGCTTTCAGTTGGTTTTGATTGAGTGTCCACACGTGGACGTTTAAGGACTAAAAAACTATCCATTTGTCACTTTGCTGTTAGCAAATAATTTGGGGCTCCAGCTAACAGGAAGTCACTCAAGTGTAAAGTAATTTAGCCTATGGGTAGGTCAAAAATCTAATGGGTGCTGGCCATTGGCCTAATCATATCACCTGTGTTGGCTTTATGTTTTTGGTCAAACATTTGTTTGTTTCACATTTGCATTGATGTAATCAATACTTTTTCTGATTTAATTTAATAAAAATAATAATAATAATTTTCGAAAAAAAACAAAAACACATTTCTTGGGGGTGCTTAGGGGGTGCTTTGGCAATCCTGGGGGGTGCTTCAGCACCCCCTAGCTCCCCCCTGGCGCCGCCCCTGCAACCAGGCAATAAGGTCTTTAGTCAAGCGTTTAATCCAAAAGGTAAAAATAAAACAGGCATTGATCAAAAAATGTACTGACTTCAAGTAACGAAAAACAACCAACTAAGTTGGCGGAAAACTACTAGAGAAGCAACAAAAAAAAAAAACAACTAGGTTGGTACAAATGCTAAGCAGCTAGAACAATAGCTTACGTCAGAAGAGAAACATGGAGCACTTTCTGCTATACAGACAAGACGAACTGGCACTGACCAAGGAAACAGCACAGACTAATGGTGCGTTTCCACTGCAGGCCTCGCTCGGCCTCGCTCAGTTTGGTTAGGCCTTATTAGGCCCGGCTCACTTTAATGCTGCGCTTCCATTACAGTTTAGGTGCTGGGGTAGTTACTATAGTAACTCAGTGTAGGCGGAGCCGTGACGTCATCTTCAATGAGCGCCCCAAAAAACAACACAGCCGTTAGCTCTTAGCACTCAGAGCTCACAGCTCTTCATATCTGTTCAGAAACTTGACAAAAGTTAAACAAGTACAAACCACAGACTGCCTGTGTCGTGGCGAATACAGTCGCTGGTTTATTTATGTCTGTATAGGCCGTTGTTGTGAGTGTGGACGGTCGGAGCATATATAACGTTAGCTTAACCAAGCTCCATTTAGAAAACACGCATTTTAAAAGGGTTTTTCGCCTGCCGTCTGTCTGCAGACTTGTCAAAGCATTAATTCATGGTTTTTACTAACCGGTATCAGTATGTTGTTACTTTGGCATCATTTTGAAACGTGTATTACAATTAAATCACGGTCAAATATGTTCATCTTGTTGTAGTTGTAGCCCCCTTGCCAGCGATTCTCTCTCTAGTTTAGCATACTCAGCCTGGTTGTTCCTGGCTCTAGAACCACGATTTAGTCGGGCCAGAAAAAAGGTGAAAAAGTAGCCCCGGGCCAAAACTAGGCCAAGTGGAAGCGCAACCAAAAACGGGCCCCGCACGGCTCGGCACGCTTAAAGCGAGCTACCCGCTGCAGTGGAAACGCGCCATAAATACACAGGTGAGGAGTGATCATTAGGGACAGCTGAGGCTCATTGAGACCAGGCAGGTGATTAACAGGGAGTGAAAATACACAGGTGAGGGAGTGAGGCGATCAGCCAGGGCCAGGATGTGACAAATCTCACACAGTTTGTTAGACAAGTGCAAATGTCTATCAGTTGACAGAGACGTGTGTCCTGTTGAGGCTCTGACACAAAGAAAATCATCTGTTACTGTTTGTTCTTTGTTTGCAAAGGGCATAATAAATTAAGAACAAACGGTACATGTTTAGCCAGATATTAGGGCGAAACAACAGGATTGGGGGAAGGGGGATTAGAGTGCCATGCTTGTTCTATAAGTCTTGTTTTATTAATCAGCCCTTAACAAACTACCTTATATTTATCGGTTTACATCAGTACTGCTGAGATCATTGTTACAAAGAGATAGACAAATATTGTTAATTCACATTTGGTTACTGTAACCGACTAACGTTTTAGAGTTGCTGGAAGTCATGTTAATTTATGTTTTGTTTACCCCAGCTTCAAATCTTTGTACTCACTCACAAGTACAAATTGCCCAAAAACATTCTGGAGAAGTGTTTGTTTTAAGTACGCTACCAATTCAAGAAAACGTTTGAGACAGTTTACACTTGCTGGGTTTTAGTAACAGTATGGTGGCAGAGCAGTGATTTTTTTTAGTTTGGGGTTTAGGTGGCAGAAATGAGTCACACTCAGAGCCACATTTGCAAGACCACAGCAACACATGCACAGTAAAGAGTGAAGACACACACACAGAAACACATCTATGCAGGCTTAAAGTATCTCTCTAGGGTTATTTGGGGATTTGTTCAGGATCAGAGGCTTCTCTCCCATTATAGGTCTAATTAGTTCCTTTTCAAGGCCTCTCTCCTTCTCATCTCTGCAACAGATTCCCTGCTAACCTTCTAAAACCTCCTTTCTTTATTCACTATCATCTGCTTCTCTCTCCTGGGTAACACATTTTTTCAATTTCAGGTATTTTCACTACTCCCACACACCCCACCTTCTCTGTCTTTCCTGCAAAGTGTATAATGGCACAGAGAGCAGGGAGGTGATGGGTACACATCTTCCCCAGCATGCTCAACTTCTCTTTGACCCAGAGGACATAGTTATACCACGCAGCAGGGGGGGAAGATAGCTGAAGATGAAAGCAGGAGAGTAACAGAAAGATTGGGAGAAGTTAGGAGAGGGGAAAAAGCAGCAAAACAAATTGAAAAGAGAGCAAGGAGTTGGCGGGGTATGATGGCTGGTTTGCTGCATTTTGTGTCGGTGGAAGTTTGATTGACAAAATGTTAAATATAAGGTAGCGTTTTAAGATGTCACTGCTGTATTTACTTTGTCGTCTGTTCTGGCTTTGATTGACAGTTGTCAGGAAGGAGTTTCAGCGGAGTTCAGAAGTCACTCGTTCTCTCCCCTCCTCCCCAAAGAGGCTAGCGGTGGTTCCTCCCAAACCTCAGTCCCCGGGTGAGTCTTTAAGGAATACATATAAATGCACATACATTTTCTGTTGCATATTATCCTGTTCTTCCAGTCCACCTGTCCATCTTCCCAAGTCTTTCCTGAAGCCACACCCAGAAGCAGCTTGCATCCATTTCAAATATCGTTACTTTGATCCATGCAGTCTGCACCTTTATTCCTCTTGGCTCAGCAGTGGTCAAATCACTTTCTTACAGGATTGTAGAGGGCCTCCCCATCTTTCCTTGAAGAGTTGAAACACATCTCCTCAGGCGACACCTCTCTCTTTTCTCTCTAGCTGTTATTTTTCAGTCTTCTTTGCTGCATCTTTTGCTGGACCTTTTTTCCTCCCACACAAACATAAAAACATTTGATTCCTTATGATCCTCAGCACTGTGTTTTTTACTGTTGTTTAGGAAGATTTGATAGGGATTGAAAGTTAGACACTCTTTCTTGAAGCTAATCTGGACCGTGTGAGGGAAATGTGTTGACATGAATAACCCTGTAACCACACCCTGGCAGGAACAGACACATCTACTCACACACACACACACACACACACACACACACACACACACACACACACACACACACACACACACACACACACACACACACACACACACACACACACACACACACACACACACACTGCTCTCTCCTCCACACAGGGACTGCCATCGCCTTTCCCCATTGATTCTCGCATCATTAATACTCCTTCATCAAACCGTCTGTTATCATCTGCATGCTGCCCTCGCACTCAGTCACATACACTCATTTAGTATTCACTCAACTCTCCCTAACCTTTCAGGTAGAACATACAGATGTGTGGGTGTGGGTGGGTGTGGGTGTGTGTGGGTGTGGGTGTGTCTGCAAAAGAGGAAGACATCATTTGCATAAGACTTTTAGAAGTCGTTCTCAAAGACGGTGAATCCTAATGTGGCTTTAAGGCAAAGACACTGATGAAGATGAAATATTGGAACAGTTGTTTATAGTAGGAGTTTAGCACATTAAAAAACAGCAAGCCTTTGTTTTATGTCTTTTCGTGGTTATGATTTTTTTTTGCCAAATGCTCACATTTGATGTTTTACCTTCACGCATGTACTTGCAAGTATGTGTACTTTAAGCTCTTCTCTTTTCTATAAATATGGCTTTAAACCACCAACATACCTTCAGGTACCTCCCCCATTTCTTCCTGAATTCTTTGTCTCTCCACTCACCCGTTGCCCATAGCGCTCCTCCCATAGCGCTCCTCTCATAGCGCTCCTCCCATAGCGCTCCTCCCATAGCGCTCCTCCCATATTATCCCCCCACCTCCCTCTAAGCGATCTTTCACTCATTACCTGGGACCCTGCACCCCAAGCGCAGCCTCACGTTGTCATGGAGACCGCGCCTCATGCTTCAATAGGCCTAAATGATACGGTTCAGGCAGGTGATGCTGAGCTGCAGAGGTTCTGATATTGTGTGTGCAGACACTCTCACTCGTTTTCAGTCTGTGTGAACAAACAGACGGTACATTTTGAAATCATTTCCTCTACCCGGGTGAAGCTCTGTATCTCCGCAGGCTATAGTATGTGCTCACACTACATGACAAGGTGACTCACACAGAGGTGAAAAGGCCTGTCTGTATGTCAACTGCAGCTTAATGGTGGGGCCCCCTCCGAAGGAAAATGGCTTTCACGTGTTTGTGTTTGACTAGCCTTTAAATGACCTCCATCATTAAGGGCCTTTACTTATATGTGCTAATGTTTTTCTACAATTATAATACAAATAGTGCAACATTGCATGTATATAATGAACAGTGTCTATACATTATTACACACCGCAGCTCAATCATTGCTTGATAATGATCACATTCATGGCAAGAGGTG